TGATATGGGTATTTAAACATATAGTTTGAGGGTAGAAGAACGGAATGGAGATACAAATAAGAGTTTCTGAGCAAGATCTGGACTAGAAATATATAGATTTACCCATCTTTTTTGAAGAATTAATTTTACAAGAATGTTAGATGCACATTGGTGTGGACCTGAGGCTCTTGGCTAGGAAAATGTGTTAAAGTAGATGAAGTACAATAGTAATGACATTATTGATTTTTCTTCTGCTATGTGATTGAAAATGTTTCTACCCCCACCACCGCTCATCATGAAAATCTTAATTCCATTCATTGTCAAAAGGTTCTGGTTTATGTTCTGATTCTTTCAAAATCAATTCATTTTGACATGGGATATAATAAACCCAGAATTTCTCAGTAAGAATCACGTTTCTGCTTATGGGCGGTGGTAGGGGAATACAAGTCTTTTTTTCAACACTCATTCCCTGTTTCTGGAAGAAAGGAAAGTTCTGTTAGAATATACCCAGTATATTTATGATTGCCAAAGTGTTAATGTACAATTCTATGCAAGTTTAGACAGCAAAGGGCCTAAACCTCTCAGCCTGCACCAGCCAGCATAGCTTTTTCCCTCTAAATTGTGCCCTTAGGTTCTAAAATCTCATCCCTTATCCGGATCAGTAGTTGCTACACTTTTAAATCAGTGGATTTATACCCTTGCCTAGAACATTGTTTTACTGATTTATTCAGGCCTGAATAGAGAAAAGCTCTCACACTGCCGTAGTTTCAGTAAATACATTCTGCAGTATTAGGCAGGCAATCTTCAGTGATGTACAAACTCCCATCAGCTTGGCTTGGCAATTGGCTCTTGCATTAGCATAACTTTTGGACAACTCTGCCTCCCTGCCCCTGCCCACACTCTTCCCTTTGAGAGTTCTACATTGGCTTGTGACATTTTTTGCACTGAGTCAAAATTTGTTTTTTGCTGGGACAAGGACTGTGTTCACCAATTCAGGCTGTATTCACACATGTATCTCAGGATCTGCTAACCAGCTACCCCATTTCTATGTTTTGATGCTCTTTTAGGCCTATTGTATGACAAATGCCTCATTATTCAATGCAAAAAATGTATATTCTGATGCCTCAAAGCCCAGGTCCATATACTAGGATGAAAACTGTCATGGAACTGGGCATGAGTAACACTTTGTGCAAGTGAACTTTCTCCTGTGTAGTGTGATTCATAAGTATGATCCATTTTCCTGCATTTCATGAAGAGAAGGGCCACAACACTCAGGCTTTGATTCATAAATGCCTATTGTCCTAGTCTGATGTTCTGCTCAGTGCAATTGTAATCCTGTTAATAGGAAGAGCAAGGCTGCTCTCATGACTCCCACAGTCCCTGCTATTTATCTTAGTTGGTGGCACAGAAATGCCTCCATGATCAAATTTCTGACCATGGGGAGTTTGGTGGGTGGGACTCTAGTAAGGTACTACAATTGCCTCTATATAGATGTTCCTAAAGTGCCTGATCCTGCCTAATTTTGCATGCTAAGCAGGATTGGGTCTGGTTGAAACCTGGAAGGGTGACTTAAAATGTGAACACTCAGAGAGCTTTGGCTACAGGTGGTATAGAAAAATAATGCAGTAATTATACCACCACCATGCCATGGGTCAGGCAAGGGGGTGAGGCCATCATGGACCTGCTTTCCCCTCCATGCTGCGTCATCCACATGGAAGACAATATTCTAACTCAGCTCACTCGATGCTTCACACGTGTGTGTGTAGGGAACATGGTGAACTCACATACGGGTGATCTTTAGTGCCTTTGGCATGCTTGGACAATGTGTGGCTGTCTGGATGTTGTTGGGCCACAACACCGGTCAGCCCTAGCCAGCACAGCCAATGGTGAATGAAGATGGGAGTTGTAGTCCATCCACATCTGAAAGGCCTCAGATTGCCTATCCCCTGTTCTAGAATTTTGAAACGAATCGAGGGAGTTGTACCCAGGGAACTGCTCCCTCTGCTGAAATGAATGGTAAGTTTGTAGGCATCAGAGCATTGGTTGACCTCCGAGTCACAGGAGTCAATGAGAAGAGAAGACTAATTGCTTTGTACTTTCTCCCACAAACTGGTAAGTTCAATGATTGTAACGTGAAAGAAGGGAAAACCACAGCTTGAGAGTTACTTCATTTGAGGTATATTTCCTAAGTTCAAGAAAGTTGTATGAATTTAGAGGTATATTTCCTAAGTGGATGTGACTCGCATCAAGAAAATTGTATGAATTTAGAATGTAGTCTGGCAGGAGTACAGTTCACTGCATGTATAAATGACTTGCAAGCTGCATGTGGTTAAAAAAAAGAGAAATAATATTGGCCAATTTGAGCAAATTAAAGAGGGCTGAGTGGAAACAAATGTCATGGAATAAAATATAGAACCAAAGATGGTTTTTGAAGTTAAGAATATGTAAAAATATTATTCCTTTTTAAAAACTATTTTCTTTGCAATTGTATGTAAGATTACTTCTTATATGTATTCTTTGACACAAATAATGAATTATTAGGAACCAGAATCATGGTCGGGGATAACATTTTTTCCTATGTTTAAGAAACAGAGTGATCAGTCCAGGTAGACAAGACTTGATTTTATTAATAAAATGTATATTTTCCTCTTTGAGGTGACAGTTACAAACTTTGGTTTTAGAAAAGGAATTCTGAACAGCAAACTGATGACTTTAAAATCTGTTTTACATATAAAATGTTTGCATGATTAAAAAAAACAGGTGGAACGGAGCTAGTGGAATCTGATATCAATTAATTTAAACAAATTTATATAAGAAATAGTAACAAACATTTACTTTTCAAGTCTTACATATATTATGAAAAATAAGTACAAAGAGGAGTTGCATTATGATGTCTGACTATCTGGAGGGTGGGGGGAATGTCTTGAGGCCAGGATGAACAAAAAAAAAATGCCATTCAGAAAAAATAGATTGTTCCTGCTTGGGTCAGAAAGAAAGCTGCATAGATAGCCATTTCCTTATTGGTTGCTTGGCAACTAGGTAGAATCACATGGCCTAGACTTATCTGCCACACTACAACAAGGGGAATCCATGAGTAGACCCAAGTTGTCACTTCTACATCCCCTTTAGAGGGGTAGCAAATAGATGGTTGGAATAGAAATCCAGAACTTGGGATACACATGGGCCTTCCCTGCATGGCCCTCACATGACTAACCTGAACAGCATGGACTGTTCCATCTGTGCCACCTGCTAAGGATTATTACCTGGCTAGAAGACACTCAGCTAGCAGTTTGACCATGTCTGCTAGTGCCTTTAATAGCCGTTTGATTTGAAGAAATCAGCTGTTGAAGCTTTTAAGTTTGCACCAATGTCCACACTTGAAGCTTCGGCTAAAGGCACAAGTACCAGGTGGTATGGTTCAAAACCTGAGAATTTTGCAGCTGCTTCAGTGGCAGCAACACAGATTATCTTCTCCTTAAGGGCTACAGCAGCAAATGGCATAGCTTTTTTTGGTTGTGTTCAAAATGTCTCTCGAGCAGGACTACAGACCCATAGCTTCGCCTTGAAGTCACAGGAGATTAAGAAAAACGAATCATGATGATGAGATGGGAATTATATGGAATGTTTTTTTTTTCTTGCAGGAAAGGGAATATATTTATCATCCATAATTTAAATAGGCCTAGCTTAAATTTGGTGGGTGGGTGTGTCACACTTGAGAATCTAGCTTGAAAGCCATGTGACCAAGTTCAGACGAGTTGCCAAAAGGGGATGGCAAGTCAGTCATGGGCCCCATGTGATGTGACCAATGGCTGCCAAAGAGCAGCTCACACTCCTCAGCTGAGCTCTGCTATGAACCAAAGATCCAGCCTTGTGGAAAGATCAGTGGTGCAGCTCCTGCGCACATTGGTGTTGGTTCGCTTTGCAGGATGGAAAACTGCACTGGTGCAGGAATGATCCACAGCATGGACTCCTTCCTTATGATCCAGACCTCCAGCAATGCCGGAGTGTTCAAGGAAGACCTCATGCTGCGGTAGCCCCTGTCCTGCTGAAGGGTCCAACTGACATGCCTTGTAGACATGACCGCATATGCATTCACTTGCATATGCTCTCCATCTCCAAACATTAAACTTGCTTCTTTTAGGGGGGTGGGGTATGCATAGAAAACACACACACGGGTGTGTGGGGGAAAGGGGGAGAGCGGGGGAGAGCGAGAGACAGAGAGAGAGAGAGCTTTTGAAATATCCTGGCATCAGAACAGGAAAGATAAGAAGTGTGAGGTATAGCACCATGGAAAAGCACCTCAACCGGCACAGTTCCATCTTGGAGTTCCTTATCACAATGTCTTAACAGCAGAGAAGCATGCTACTAAACTGCTTCCAGTTTTGCCACCTGAGGTTTTGCTGGTGACTTCAAAATAACAGAGCTCTTGAACATCAATATATACAAAGGGATTTTATTATTAATAATATTATTAATCAGGAAAAATATGGAATTGGATTCACTGGAAATTACAACTTTATTTTTCATAATACATACACAGTATTGACAACATAATTTTGAAATTGTTATAACGTAGAGCCGGCTGCAAATCAGGATACATGCAAGTTTGGAAATGGACACAGAAAAAGACAGCACTGTACTGTACATTGAATAATTATCCTTTATTTAACATACCTCCTTAGCACCTCTTATGTTGTAATAGAAGGAGCACCATGACATTCAATTTTACAGCACCAAAGAATCAAGGAAGGGTTAAGTGGAGTGGGGTGGTGGAGGGTATTCATAATTAACCCTATGCTGCCTGTCTCTGCCACAAGATCCTTTGTAGTTTGCCAAATAAGTTTAAGTCATGTGATTCTGGTCCTACAGGGGCAGTGGGTGTTCTCTAGACAAGACATAAATACATGGTGAGACATATTTTTGACTCCATCCTTATTCAAAACTTGCATGTAGCATCAAGTGGGTTGGTGATGGCACCAAGGTGCTTCTTTTCTGTTGATGAACTTCTCTTTGCACTAAACTTAACCAAGGAAACAGACCGGACCAACTTCAAATCCAAACTTCTGATTCTGATCACCAAAGTCATTGATCATCACATCAAAAATAGGCACTTGGTCAATTCTGGGAGTATTGATTTCGAGAACAGTCTTTGCATAGCCTTTTCTTGACTGTAAAATAAAAAAAATACACATACATAACCAAATTAAATTAAGACACTGGTTGTCACAGTAAACATTTAGATTGCCTTTAGATTGCCTAGAATTAAATAGATTGTGGAATGTAGTAATGATTCCGGTAATCTAACGTGTAGATTATTCTTGATAAAAACCAACACCAAGCACAAACACACTTATCAACTAGCATAATGGTACAGCAGCAACATGGTAACTCAAAGGCAGCTATGAATTTCAGAAGATCTTGAAGTGAACTTAATAAGCTAATGGGAAAGCTACTGACTGACTTCTCACGCATTGTAACACAATCGAAGAGTGGCTTGCTTTTTAATTGGGTCCAGTTTCAGAATAATAATATTTTTAGAAAGCTTTGGCTATGGGTGGATAGAAAGGAAATGAATAAATAAATATATAAATAAATAAAACTTTGGATAATAATTGGTACTGATATCATTATCTGTATTTACCATGGCCCATTCTGAGTAGTGATGGTCCAACTCATGTTATGGGGGCACCAGTGTATCAACGATTGAGGAAGGGCATGACCTGATTCCTCGATTCCTCAGTAGCTGTGCCTCAGAGTGTCTTTGAGTTTCCATCAGTCCTGGAAGCTGATGCAACTAAAACTCATCCCCTTCAGTGAGTTGGCAAACTAGGGCAGGGAGAGGGAGGGCTGAAAGGTCCTGAATGAAAGGAGCATAATGCTGAAAGGTCAACTGGGATTGGTGAAGGTGCCGGTTTATTGGGACAACGTAGAGGGTCTTTTCAATGGAAAGTCTGTCCAAGTGAGCCGCATGGAAGCAGGCAGTCACATGACAGACATCCAAAAGTGCCATGGCACACACTGGGGATTCTTATGGTTACATGAGTAATGTTTCAACACTGGTGAAAGTTCTGACATGCCTTCTTTAATACCTTTTCATCCTTATCAAATTTCAGTGCCACTTCAAAGAGCAGCTCATCGGATATGAAGTTGAGACACAAGATTTTTTTAAAAAGAAAAAAAAAAGCTTTGGCATTGCTTTCCCTTCCATTATCTTCTTCAGAGGGAAATTATATTAACATGAAGGAGGGGGACCTTTCATTTGCAGTATGATGGCTATTCATCTTTTCTATAGCACGCTATGGAACACAAAAGCTTTCTAATTATGATCTCACATCTCAGGATGTTTTCTCCAGTGCCTTCCCTTGTCAGTGCATTTAGAACACTACACTATCTGATACTTTCTGCCTTTCTTTTGCCTTAAGCTACGGCTAGCATTTGTTTGTTCTTCTCAAATTTGTGTGCTTTAAAAAAATACTTGTCTAGGTGAAAAGGAAACTACGTAAGTAAAAGAATACATTAAAGGGAAGAAAAAAGTACTTTGGATACATGCATAAGATTGACATTAAGCCGAACTCAAGCGCTTACTAAGCTAACCTGCCATCTTAACTAGGAAAGAGCATCCTGGGCTTATACTTACTGCACAGCCATCATGAAGGGCTTTGATGTAAGGATTGTTGTCATAAGACATCTCTTCATCGTTTGAGCCTAAGAACCTTAGCGCTTTGTCATAGCTGTCAGAAGTCTCATCGTGCCATGCCACTGACTGATGGCAGTTGTAAGTGAAGTTCTGCCGAGCAGAGGCGCTCAGTAGTCTCAGGAATGTCATTTGGACTGTATTAATGGAATTGCCTTCGGCATCCACGTAGGAGAGCTGAGGAGGTTGAAAAAACAAACACGGATCCACAAACAGGCACAGAAACATGTGGTTGGTTCTCCTTTTAAAGTGCAAAGCAAGATTACATTTGACACAAAAACACGTTAACGGGCCTTCCTACACAGCGACTGACATAAGTCTGTTTGTTGTCTAATTAAGGATGCAGTCAAGCTATGGATCAGTAAAGAGATTTTCTGTATCTACATGATTATGCATGTGGGCTGCATTGTATTGTCAGGAGCTGAAAAACATCCCAAAAGGCGAGCTGCAACCTTGCAAATATGACGTTCTTCCAGGGACACAACTCCAGTTGCACATAATTCTGTGTGCTGGTTTAGATATTAACCTGCACCAGTGGTGATATTTCCACATGACGTTGCATGCTTCCCTCTACCACAATCAAACACAGATACACAAAAGCAGACAGATGCTTGTGGGGCTGCTAACTCCTCCAGTCTGCCCACTCAACACTAAAGGCTAAGGCCTGATGAACGCATTCTCCTGGAAACCAGAATACACTGACCAGGGCATGAAAAAATGTATAGCAGTACCTAGGGCAAACTCTTAAAGAGGTCCAATATGGGTAAGAAATCACCCCACTCTTATTTTCCTGGGAATCTCCTTCTTGAACCTTACTCTCCATGCACATGCTGAAAGACCTTCTCAGCAGGTTTCTATCAAAGGTGGGAAGCTCAGCAAAGCCTGAGACAGATGTTCTGCAACTTGATCCATCTTGGGATGGATCGTGCCACAGATGAGTTGCAACTGCATAACCTCAGCAGCAAAATTTGCCAGAGGAAGCAGAAGCTGTGCAGGCAGTGGCGAGATCTTGCTGTCCGCTTTTGCCTTGGCCTTGAGTTCACCAGAACCACAAGGAAACTGTTTGCAGATGTTTGCTAGGGAGCACGGCTTGCCTATGCCGAGATCCTAACTGATGAAGTCAAACTGACAAGTGTTGCTATTGCTGGATTCTGAATGTCATTTCAGGTGCAAAGCAAACCTGCACACGGGAACTTTGTTTCGGCATATTGATCAGCTTTGATGGATTTGGGTGCTTGAACATGAACCATGCTAGATATGAATTTAAAGAAAAGAAATGGCAATTTACCAGCTTGCCTCTCTTAAATTCACTAAACCAGGTTCCTGGATTTTCCTTTGGCCACGATGAGATCCTTACCTGTGAGAGAGGAAAAGAAATGATGAGGGCTAATTATGTCGGCAAGGAATGAGTGGGAATTAACAGAGTTTTACATAAACACTGCTAAATTAATCTCCTTAAAAAAAGAAGAGAAAAGCCTGGGCTTACTGCCTAGTTCTAATCATATTTAGAGTTGTGCAGAGAGAAATGTATATCCAATTCTCAGATTATACATTAAATAACCAAATTCATTAATTGGGTTGTTCAGGCAGATCTGTGAGAAAGGGATTGTGGATGCTCTGCATTTTGGCAGAGGGTTGGTACAGATGGTCTTTCATTCCCTTCGAAGGCTACGGCTTTGTTTATCTAACTGAGCCAATAATATCTTTCTGCAAGATAGAGGGATGAGCCATTAAAAACTTGCAGAGATACATACATTAGAGCTGCACTGTGTCTCTGCTTGGCCAAGTGTCTGGAAGGGAGTCTGCCTGTGAATCCTAAATTAACTGCTTGGAGCTTCTCATACAGCTTATGATAGGTACCTCAGACATCCCTTATATGAATTCTGATGACAAATGCGTTCTAGAAATTCTCTGGACATCTGACACTTACTTTTGAGGTGTTATGACATTTGATTTGCATATTTAATATTAGATAATAATGCAAATAAGCACAAGATAAGTCCTGCTATATCAGGCCAAAGGTCCATCAGGTTCTATTCACTGGGGGTTCTGTAGTCCAACACTTCTGAAGGAAGCCAGATTGAGGAAGGTTAAGCTAGATTGTAAGCTAGACTGATCTGCATTTGAATGCATATTTAATTTATGCTCACAGATCTTAATCCAAGCTATAATTTGTATGGATGCTTGAAGAATTTGAACTTGAGAAATTTGATCCCCATTAATTCCAGTACAAAAACCTCAACTCTCAGAGTAATATGCGGATCAGAGCATAGTTACCAGCTTTCTTTCACATTCCTTGACTGTACTGACACTGTTAAAGAATCATATAATTGTAGATTTGGGAGGGGCCAGAGTATCATTAGGTGTAACTCCCTGCTCAGGGCAGGGCTCTGAGTTAAACCATCCCTCTCAGATGGCCTCCCAGTTGCATCTTGAATGCCTCTAGTGTGGGAGAACCTGCAACCTCCCACTGTCATCCTGCTCTAACAGTCAGGAAATTCTTGCTGATGTTCAGCTGGAATCTGGCTTCCTAAAACTTGAGCCCATCATTCTGTCCTGCATTCAGAGATGATCGAGAAGAGATTGTGGCCTCCTACTTTGGGACAACCTTTCAAGTACCTGAAAAGTGCTACCATATGTCCCCTCAGTCTTCTCTTCTCAAGGCTAAACATGCCCAGTTCTTTCACTCTTTCCTCACAGGGCTTTGTTTCCAGTTCCTGGATCATCCTTGCTGCCCTCCTCTGAAAAGCTTGCCTGCATCTTTCTTAAAAATGGGCACAGTACTCCAGATGAGGCCTGCCCAGTGCTGTGTAAAGGGGAACTAGTACTTCATGTGTTCTTAATTGAAATCTATAAACATGAGTTCAAGATATCTATTTTGAAAAAAAGAAATGCATATTTCAAGAGAATGTAAGTATAGAATACATATTTTAGTATGTACGGATGCTTTCTGGAAGAAGCACAGCAAGTCACATAGACACACTGAAATGCTCTCACAGAAAAAGAACTAAGGGTGTGGAAGGGGCATGCAATTATTTCATTTTCCAGGTCTCTGTTGAAGCTTTATGCCCTCATTAAAAATGGTTGCACAGCTGTGACTCGGGAATAAAAAATGTCACTAGCAAGCAGGTGCAGCAAGCTCACATCTGCACTGAACGAGCATTTGAGTCCAAAGGGGAGGTACTCAGATCTTCATTAATGCTGTATTGCTCCACTGCCTTGTTCAAGTTTATGTAAATGTAATGGGGTAATTATCTTACAAGAAAAGGCGCATGAACAAAGACATGACAATGTTTTCCTGTTACAGTCACAATCTTGAAGCGACGCAGCAGGACCCGTCAACAGTGAATGCAGTAACGATTGGTACTTACGCCTTCAGACTTCTTATCTGGGTAGATGCAAGTTTCCCCGCCTGTCGTGAAATTACAGTACACTTTGAAAGAGTCCCCAGAACAGCCCTGGTTAGGATCAATCCAATACTCTCCTGGAACGAATGAGAACGGAACAATCGTGTTTCAGAAAATTTTGAAAAGATTCTTTTGAAGAAGTACATTGTAATACAGCACGGGAATGAGATGCTTGGCAGGAATGGGGAGATGGGAGAAAGCATCTTTTCCTCAGGGATGCACCACATCTGTACTGGAAAGCTACCTCTGTAGGCCAGAGATGAACAGACAGTAGATCTCTAGCTGTCTGGACTTCAATGTGAAGGGCTGGTTGCTGCTGTCCTTAAGGGGACATTAGTCTGAAGACACTCCAGACTCAATGGTATTTGACAACTACCACAAAGTTGCAAATATTCCTTTCTTAAGGAAGGTACTTGAAGGTACTCTTAGGGGATATTGATTATCTAGACCTGGGTTTGGACCTGAAACCAGACCCAGCCTGAAACAGCCTTCATTGCCCTTTATCAGGAGAGAGAAATGATGAGTGTGACCCTGTTAATTTTACTTGATCTCTTAAGGGCTTTTGATTCCATCAACCATTGTATGCTCTTGGACTGACACTGTGGGCTGCTACTGGGTTACAGTGGTTCTGGTCTTGCCAAGTTCAGACATTAACACTGGATGGCCATTCCTTGGACCTTTGGCAACTGAGTTATGGGGCTCTGCAGGGTAGCATCCTGTCCCCCATGTTGTTCAACATGTACGTGATGCTATTATGTTGGTTATGACCTATAAAGCCCTTAACGGCTTGGGACTTGGTTATTTAAAGGAACGTCTGTGTCCATATATGCCCGCCCGCCCCCTACGATGAGCAGTGGATACCCTTCTCCGGGAACCCTCCGTGAAGGATATTAGGAGGGTGAGTACCCGGAGGAGGGCCTTTTCTGCGGTGGCGCCCCACCTATGGAATGCGCTCCCCAGAGAGGTCTGCCTGGCGCCGTCATTATTTGCTTTCCTGGCACCAGGTGAAGACCTTTTTATTTAAAAGTTACTTTAACTGTTAATCTATTATTATTGTATTTATAGATTTTAATATATAGCTGAGATGGTACCAGTTTTTAAATTATTGATTGTATTTTTATGTTTATGGATGTTATGAGCCGCCCCGAGGCTTTGTTGCAATGGGGGCGGCATAGAAATGTTTTAAATAAATACATAAATAAATACTAGGGGCAGTCATTAGCAGTCCCCCAAAAGTATAGGGAACACAAACTATAAAAAGAGAGAAGGCAGGGATTTCAACTCCAGGAGTTCCTAAATATTTCCCTACATGTGTAGAAATATTACTGGTTCCTGAAGAAGGATGGAATGATCCCTGTGAAATTTTGAGAACCAATTAAGACCAATTTCAATTTTCTCCAGAGGGCCACAGAAGGCATTCTTTCACTTTAGGGCATACTCAAGCAGTCAATCAGTACAACAGACTCAAAGCGGCAGTAGGCTACTGAATGACGAGGCTGGGTGAGGAAGTTTCACAGCAAATCTAGTCTGTTCATTCCGTCCCCCTTGACCAGAAAAACAGTTGCCTGGACTGGAGGAACAATAACGTTACGGGTGGCATGATCAGGGATAGAAATACCATTGCGGACATGGAAGGCAGAAGGAAAAGAATGGAAGGATCTGGGAAAAATAAATAGGGAGGGGACTGAAGAAGAGGCAACACACACAATCAGTGTGAGGACAAGAGCACTGATCCTGCAAGATCAGAGTGAAGAGTTATCATTTTCTTCCAGGGCATGCAAAAGTTTGGCACCTTCGTCTTCTCCTGTAGACCTGCCCAGGCTTTCAGGTCTGCCTTGAAGGTGCTACTCTTTGTGGCATCACCACACAGGTGCAAACTAAAAAGCCCAAGAAAAAAGGCCACTCTGGACAGTGGTAGTATTACAGACCCACTTGGCTTCCTCACAATCTCACAGTCAGAAGGATGAACAGGTCTACCCAAAGAGATTCTGTTCTTGCCTTCTGCTACTGATTATTAGTGACTATTTAAGCCACAACTACTCATTATCAGGAGAGCAGGATATAGTTACTTAGCACCAAAACCACATGGTGACCCAAGGCATCATGGGTATTTCAAGGAGACAGCATTAGTGCCAGAACACGTGATCTGAGATAGGCCAGAACTGAGTTGGTTGTCCAAATAAAAGTGCATGCGGCCAGCCGCTCTGCCTGCCTTCTAGAAGGTGGGATCAGCCCAGTAAATTTGGTTCTCTATAATGCTTTCCATAATCCTGAGGTGTCTCTTCCACCACATGCTCTTCTACTTCGCTGATTAGTCAGGTAAAGGTGGGCAAGGGTTGTTTCATCAACGATTGGCTTTCACAGGAGGGACTACTTTTGAAGCTGAGTTACCATTCGGCAGGTTTAGAGAGGACTTATTCGCAACAGCTTAGGGTGAGGAGCACCCCATCCTCACTGTGCTGGTCTTCAATGCCCACGATGCAAGGGCACCACAACTGTGTCCGCACACAGTTCCGCCCTCCCATGAGTTTCCTAACTACCAGGGCAATCTGGCAGCCCTTCTCCACAGCCGTGATGGTGAATGGCAAGCTTCCCCCTCCATTACCACTGCGTTCAGCCATAATCCCTGAACATCTGCAGCCCCTTTCTTTGATCATCTATGAAAAAACCTAGATTAATATTCATAATGCCTTGAAGTACTTCTGTTGCAAAGTACGCACAAATTATTGTTCATTCTTTGGAATATATTTCAGAATGGTAAGTGCTTAAAGGATTTCTTAACAAGTTAGCAATTTTTCTGGTCCCAAATTTCCCCCCAGCTTTTGCTGGAGTATTATGCTATTTTTAAGCTTTAATTTTCTTCCCCCCTCCCTTTTTTTACCTGCATGAAAGGATTTAACAAGTATTTTATTTAGTTCTTTTTGGAGATTATATTACCCATATAACTAGAATAAATGACCTGACATCATAACTTAGCAAATCACAACTTCAGCACATTTGCTGTTGTCATGTAACGTTAGCATACCATCTGGGAAGTCTGGGTGACAGAGCTGTAGATCTTTGCAGGTTCGGGCTGGGTTGTTCTGAGTCCCCATTGGATATTTCATATGCTCAATGTCCTGCTTCAGAGAGTTAAGTGAACCGAATATCTCTTCCATGCCATCAGTGTAATCAAAGATGCCATCAACAGCATCGGACAACATGGCATCTGACGATCTTCTGGTTTTTTTAGGAGACTGGATTGGCAAAGGCTGAATAACCTCACCTGGAGGACCCTGAGGAAAACAAAACCAATCACCTTTCCTTTTCTTTCACTTCTTAAAAAAGACATGCAAATATAAGCTGATTTATGTTATAAGCCATCCAGAGACACAAGTAATGGACAGCATACAATTTGTATACATACACAAATGAATAAATAAATAAATAAATAAGGTAATCTTGGGTGAAGACTCTGAGAGGTCCTAAACTATTCACCTGAATTGAAGGGAAGGGGATAGAAACGCTTTATAAAAACTATTTGACAAGTCATTTTAAAACATTTCTGTATGAACAAAGTTGCATATATTTAATAGACTTATAAATTCTTGTCATAAAGGGAATGCCTTACTTTATTCTTGAGAGGGAGCTCAGGTTCAGGTGACCACCAGGAAAATGATAGTTCAAAAGCAGGAGAGCAAGCAGTAGTGATAATCCTCTCTATTGGTCTTTGATTTTTAAAACTGTTACACAGATGACCCATGAAAGGCATATAAAGCAGTGATCTTACACAACCATGAGAAGTAATAAGAGGAAATGTGATCTCCAGACTAATCAGGGTCTGAGCCATTTAATGTAAAAAGGCGACCCCCAAAGTCCAGTCCTGAAAACATGAGAGTAGAAGTGTTGGTGTACTTTTCCAAATTCAGCCCGAGGAAGGAACTCTGGGGTCTCATAAAAGCCCATCCCAAAAGAGAGTTGAGCTTTCCTAGCACCAGAAAACTTACTTGGTTCACAGTGGAAGCTTCTCTCCTTCCATCCACTTAATAGTTGCCTTTGAACACATCTTAATTTTGCAGCAAAACTTGCACAAATACCTACTGTTCACTTCATATTGAGCACTGTATGTTCTGCATGCTAAATTAATTAAAATACTATAGCCAGGCAATCCAACTTGTTCACAAAAAAGAAAAAAAAAGTATTGTGACCTGTAGGTATTAGGCAAATTTGCTTCATTCCTAATTTTCCTACACATTTCAGCAAGTGTTGCTCAAGTGCTTTCAAAGTGTGGGTTTTATTCATAAAGTCTTCCAATTAACTTTTAAAGCAATGAAATCTAAGATTTCCCGGGCAGCCCATTATCACTATTGCATTTGTCTTCTGTATTCCCATACTATCACAGTATAAGGATAGTTATTTTGTTTGTCTGTTGTTACCAGTGCATTATTTTACACATCTTCTGCATGGGAGCTTAATATTGGTTCTTTACAGGAATTGCTACTTCAAAGTGTTGGGCAACTGCTAGATTGCACTAAAGTCATTGGCACATCTACCATTTTGTTTAAAGGGTTTGCACATGTTATATATCAAACAGCTTTACTTACAGGAGGCCCAGGAGGTCCAGGTAAACCAGAATCACCCTTTTGACCACCAGGACCCTATAAAGAAGTACAAGGAAGCTTTGCATTAGCATTAGCATTTTTTTTAACTTTCACACATGGATAAAGGAAGAGTCAGCAATGGGAAGAGAATGGTTTGAGAACTAAGGTTACTTACTGTTGAACCTTTAGAGCCTTTGGGACCTTGAGGGCCCTAAAATGGGGAGGCACATAGGTCAAGTTAGATGACAGTATGTATGCAAAGGTACTAATGTCAAAATGTAAAATAGGAGATGCTGAGAATAGCTACTTACAGGTAAACCAGGTGGCCCAGGAGGACCAACTGGGCCAGCAGGACCAGGAATTCCCTTGAAAAATAATATGTGACATGTTGGTTATTCCAGCCACTCTTGGTTAAGTTAAAATTTGCTCCAAAGATGCTTTTAACGAAGTTTTAAAGAAAATAGGATTGCTGAAGATACTGAACTAAGAGCATGGACTGTATTTCTGCATGAGTAGGACATTTTGGAAAACAAGACTCCTGTAATTATCAAAGCAATTGCAGGGAATGACATTTCATTTAACCCCAAGGTCTGTTAAACAATATCAAGGACCATGCTGGAATATACAAAAGAAAAGCCAGTAGGAATTTGAGGATGGTTGCTAGAATGATTGTGACAAATAATTGGAAATATAAGGGCAAATATTGAAAAATTAATAAGATTTGGTATGTATGCAAAGCTGATGAACAAGACAACAGCCTTTAAGCCTATGTATATTTAGACAGATGTCAGTTTTGCAACTCCCGGCATCCCCAGACAGCTGTATTTCTGCCTAAACATGAAGAGGATCATGCCCCAAGCAAATTTCGGCAGGCAGAATTAACGCAGGCTCCCAATTAACTAGAATGTTGTTAGTCATCTTTTCTTGAAATAAAAGCAGGCTCAGGCAGAGTGATATGGGCTCTCTGATAGTACCTGGTTTAATTTAATTTAACTTAATAGAATGTACATTTGTGAATATCTTGTATGCATGACTAGTCTTCAGTGTCTTGAGTCTGCACTTGGTGAACACATCTCATCTTTCTCTGTTGCTGTATTCTTCCTTAATTGTTTTGGTAACTTTTTCTTTTTTCTTTTCTTTTGTACAATCCAAAAGAAAACTTGTTTTTATGAGTTAACTAGTAAAATATAGCAGCTCACATTTACAGAATGCCTCATTTAAGAGTTGCCACAGAGAGCTAAGATTATAGCTTTGTTTTTCATCTGCCCTCAAAAGTCAGAGGGCTGGATCCAGTGTTCATATGAATGGAACTCTGCTTACAGGATCTTCCCAGCAGAGGAAGATCCTGTAAGTGTCTTGTATAGTCTTCCATACCTCTTAAAATCTGCTCTGGAGGCTTATGGGAACCCCTTGGGGACAGGGTGGGAGGCTGGAGGGGAAAGTGGGAATAAGTGAAAACCATCTCCCTTCTCCTTCCCTGCAGCCAGAGCCTCTGTTGTATTTCAGTCCATGCCATGGATCGAGAGCACTCTCCTGCTTGCACAAAGGCCAGCCCGGATCCAGCAGAGTCATCTGATGCTGAACAGGCCTAAGGGGTACTCTGTTCAGCAACACCATGCAGAAAGGTACTCATCTGAGCAGACTTTGGACAAACAGGGCATGAAGCTGGTGATAAAGGTATGCACATGGTTTTACTCACCCCATCTCCTTTTGATCCAGCAGACCCCTGTGGGCCAGGCAGACCCCTATCTCCTTTTTCTCCCTGCTCTCCTGGAGGTCCAATCAAGCCAATCAAGCCAGGATGTCCCTAGAAAACATACAGAAGGAATCACTGCTGAGCAAATAATAGAAAAGAAGGGACAGGGTGACATTAAAGTCTAGTTCAGTTGTTTAAGAATGATGCATAAAGTAGTTATTCTGAGGCCGATGTAATACTTGTCACGTACCTTTTCTCCCTTGGAACCTGGATCACCTTTCAATCCGGGCAAGCCAGGTGGACCCTAGGGATAGGAAGCAAAGTAACATAAGGCAGCCGCATTTTGTGATTCATGGTATTTTCCTGTCTGGTCTACAAGGGCAGATATAATCACATCTTGCTACGTTCAGTGGGTGACACTGGTCTAAAAGGGCAAAAGGTGACCTTTAACAATGGCATCTTAGAATGAGCTTCTCCGAGTGGTTCACTGCCCTAATGGGGTGTGTTATTTTGACCCTGCTGTAAATGACATTTAGTGTTTCCCGTGAGGAGGCAAGATGCAAGACTCATTTAAACTAGTTTTCTGATGCATTTTCCCTTTGTTGTGCTTTCTTGGCATTGCTTGTAGATGCTTTCCTCATCCCTGCAGTGAGCACCAGGGTGCAGCTCATTTCCGTGGAACCAGGGAAGCAGCACTGAGCATCTGATCAGCGTGATCATCTCTGACAGTGCCTGTCATCTGTTGTGTGGAATGGAGACTGGCGGCTAACATTCCCTGTCCCCCAAACGAGGGATCCAAGGTCCCAAACCTGATCAAACAGGCATCAAAGAGGGCGGTAAAGGCATGTCTTGTGCCTTACCAAATGGGGGAACCCATCCAGGTGCCAATGGCTGGGTTGCGAATATTTGAAAGGCAATTAAAAAGGATGTGTTTGGGAAGATAACAGGGGAAGGCTGTTCCCCACCCTCTGCTCTTAACACACAACAAAACCCAATAAAACCCTGCAATTCCTTAATGCTATTCTTTGTAAGGAAGGTTGGAAAACTTTCACCTACAAGCAAATGTTATCCATTTTATTTACAGTATATTATTTTATCAAATAATATGCAGGCACTGGGTGGCCCACAAACCCGCCTGTTCAAAGCAACATTTAGTAGGGAGGAAGACCACAATTTAGAGACTCTTAGGGTGCACTTTTAAACACACATATGAAGAGCAACATTGCAATCCTGTGAACACTGAGTCAGAAGTAATTCCCACTGAGTTCAATGGGACTTACTCCCAAGTAATAGAGACTGTGGATCAGTTAATTCATCAAGACTTACTTCCTAGTCAATGTACATAGGATTGTTTTGTCAATCACTCATTGAAAGGATGTCTGTAAAGATTGGAGGGGAGTGACATTAGGGATTTGAAGCGAATCAGGCTGCAATCCTGTACAGTCCAGAAGAGATTAAGCCCAGATTACATCCAGTAGAGCTTGCTCCTGAATAGCCATGTACAGAATTGCACTGTTACTTCCAGCTGATCATGAATCGGGTTGGGTTTGCAGGCACTAGTTGTCTTTTTGGGTGGACACCTGTGAAATTACAGTGTGCCTCAGAAACTGTAAGTGACCCTTTCAAGCAAGGACGTTGGGAAAAAGTCAAAACTCTCCTTCTGAGAGTAACATTGTTCAGTGCGTTATCCTTTCCATTTCTTCTTCAGGATATCATTAGATGCAGAAAGTCTAAATACATAATGCATAAGCTAAGAGTGAAATAGCGGCAGTTTCTTTTTCCCTTTTCAAGGCTTCTGAGATGTGTTCCTTGCAGCATTTTTGTTCCCATTTTATCTAAGCTTTGGTATTCCGCTCGCAAATACAGGGTTACTGGACATGACCCAAAGTTAGTATCTGCAGTGTTTGAACTTAATTGGGAATCAAAGTTTAATTTTTCAAGGATGTCTAACTAATTAGTAATACCCCATCCTTCCCACTTTTCTGGATGTGAGTTTTACAGTGTTAAGAAAAATCCATGAGTTCTTTTTTCTTTCTTTCTCTGGTTTAAAATTCCTTTCCAAAATGTACTCAGGCAGGTCTGTATGTGCAATCTTTAGAGGGAAGCCATATACCTCCCTAGTTCCAAAGTGGGAAAGCTGGGTGTGAGAGCCAGTTTGGTTGTACAGATTCAGAACCAGGAATCATTCACATTACTCATGGAACCCTCCTCCTCCATCTTTCATAGTGCTTTAGGTGCAGGTAAATTTGAACAAATATGCAAGAACATAGTCTTGAACCTATGATACGTTACTTTAGTCTGTCATCTTATGTACTTACTTACTTACTTACCTGGGAATAAGCCCCATTGTGCTCAAACGGGCTTCTAAATAGACTTGAATAGTGTTGTTAAATATGTCATGGAATGGCTACTTGTTTTCTCCTAACCCTTAAAGCCATCTGCAGCCCTGAAAAGCTTCTCTTGAAGGTCAGGGAACCCTTCGGAACAATATGGAGTCAAGCATAGTGTCAGGGGAGGGCACTGCTGGAGGAAGGAGGGATGGCAAACTTTTCTTCTGTAAATTTCCTTAAGTTAACTTATCTTAGGTTCCAACATCTAAGAAATTAATGAAGGCACAAGTGAAAGCTGTGATCCTATAGATACTTAACAAGGAATAAGTCTCACTGAAGTCACCAATGCTTTCCCCGAAGTTGATAGGCACAGGATTGGATTGTATGGGCATCGTTAAACAGGAAGTGTGAATAGGAGATTTTCTTGGAAGATTATACCCCTTCAGCATTTTCCCAAATGTGCATCTGAAATAGGGACTTTGGCTATAACTCTGGATTGAATTTTACCTTTTTTTTAAAGTGGAAGTAAGGTAAGAACCCTGGGCATTTAACAAGTTATTGAATCCAAATGGCTCCCTAGAGCTCCAAAGCAGATCTCAGAAGTGTTGTCAGGTCTGTAATGATGCTGAACCTGTGCCTGCCAGGGTCTGCCATGCCAGATGCAAAGAATATTTCTTGCTTCATCTGTGCAAAGGCTTCTAGAGAGTTATGAGCTATTAAAGTCATCTCATTGTGTCATATGGTGTAGCAAAGACTGTGGCATGTCTGAGGTGGCTGGACAGGTGTAGAATGGCTCCAGGGATGTTCAGAAACTGACAGATTGGGTGAGAGTGTCAATTTCATGTTGATCAAAGTGAGAAAATCTAGCATAAATACCAATTTGGAATGTAAATTGCAACATCCCCAGTGCAGGAGTCATGATTAAAATTAAGTGTTAGACCCACAACATAAATATACTCACAATGGGACCTGGTGGGCCATCCTGACCTGGGGCTCCAGGTAGACCTTGTTCTCCCTACAGCAAAGAGATTAGTTAGAGTTTTTTCCCCTTGTAAAAACATACAGTGAAAGACAAGAAGCAAGAGATTATGAACATTACAGATCATGTACTCACCACAGGACCAGGAATACCCCGAAGACCTTCTGGGCCAGGTTTTCCTGCAGGACCCTGGGGTCCAACGGGCCCTGTTTTTCCTGGAGCTCCTTCTGCACCAGGCTCACCCTATAGAAAAAAACATCTGGTCAATGACATGTCATTAAGAAATAGTTTGGTCTGAAGAAATAGGAGGAAGTTGGGAAGAGCTCTTCATTTAGTTCACAAATGGATCAAACTCCACTTTTTCCCAAATCAAAATTATCTGCCATAGATAGCCTTGCTGCTCTAAAATATCATGTTGAAGTAGCCACTCACACATTGCACTGTTTAGATTGCTTCTAATGTGCACCTAAACATAAAAAGTGAGATCATGTATTTTACTGCATGCATTTGAAAGTGTGCCTATCATACACACATGTTCATCCGAACATACCAGGAATGCTACCATGTAAAGCAGACTTCTTCTAGGAAAATGAGGGCAAGATACAGGAGAAGTGGAAGGTTTTCCATGGTCTTTCCTACTGCTCATTTTTAATTTGTGCTTGGATGAGAAGGAAAAGTAAAGTATGAATCCATTTGGTTTTCGCCCAATGAAAATCACCCTTCCCCATGGAAAAATGGTGGAGCTGCTGCAGTCCAGCCAAGGAGACTGATGACCTCATCTTGTGACAGGGACTGACCCTAACTGTATGTAGATAAGTAAGTAACAGAATACCCAACATTCTTGATTTAGGCTGTTGGAGATGTAAGTCAGGTGAATGGAACAAAGAAATGCACTTTGGCCAGAAAAAAAGCAGTATGCAGGTGGTGTAGCCTGGACTCATCGATGATCATCTTTACCTTGGCTCCTTTTTCACCTTGCCTTCCTTCTGCACCAGCTGCTCCTGGAGGCCCCTGTTGCAACGAGAAGAAAGAGATGGACACAAATGCTCAGTTACAATACACTGGCTTTTTTCCCAGCCATGCAAGCAACTCCTCAGTGGGGTCCAGACGCCTGCATCCACTGAAAATCTCCTCTAGAGGAGCTGGTGGGTCTTCCAGAATGCTGTGGGAAGCATCAGTGCAAGACACTGAGGGAAAGGGAAAGTGGCAAGGTCCCCTTTCTCCTACTATGAGCGTCTCCTGTTTCCACAGATGACAGGAGCACTTTTGTTTTCAGAAGGTGCAGTCTGGGTCCATCTTTAAAGGTAGAGCAAAATGATTGGGTGTATGAGTGTATATCTTTGGTCAGTGGCCCAGCTATGCCCCTACCAGCACAGGGATAGCCTGGTTTCAGTAATCTATGGTTTGGTAATTTTCAAGTTAGATTACTGCAACATGATCTGCATGCGACTGAACTTGAAGGCTTTTAAGTAGTTTCAGCTTCTGCAAAGTCTGAGCATTCTGGCCTGCCTGCACTGGCTTCCTACATGCTTCCAAGCCCAATTCAAGGTGCTGGTTCTAACCCATAAAGCCTAAATGATTTGGGATTGCAAGGTGTGATGGAGCCCTTCTCCTAACCTGAATCTAACTTAACACCAAGATCTGCATCTGAAGCTTTGCTCTACTACCTCTGAGGGAGGGTTGGGTTCCAGCAACAAGGGGGCGGGGGTTCAAAACTGTGGAATGAACACCCGGCTAAGAAAACAGATTGCAGCTCTGTCAATTTCATTACTTTTGCAGAATGATAATTCTATAAAAAGATTTTACTATTAAAAAGAAGGCTCAGGATACAAAAATAGTAAAAGCTTATTTGAAAACATTCTTATAAGGCAACTAGAAATTTACAAAAATGGTGCCCAGTGGGCCTCTGTGGAGTAGGCAGAAACATGACCCAGGGCTGCAAATTAACAACTTGTGTCAAATTGTATTTAATATCACTGGTACCATTTAAAGGAGATGATCAAGGAGAAAGGATTGAAATTCAGCCATTCCTGTGTCTTTCCTCCCTCCCTTGAGCAGATACTCCCAGTTTTCATGCTGGGAGGTGTAATGCTTTTTTGCTTTATCAGTCAAAACATGTACAGGAATCCCCCCCCACACCCCCCCCCGTCTGTTTGCATGCAGTTACAGCTCTTGCATCCTTTTCCAGCTTGAGAAAAATGAATGCAATAATTTGCAAATAATTTACATACCCACCTCCTACTCAATTAGGGGCTGGAGCTGGCATCAGAAGCTGACTCCCAGCTAGGTAGTTGCCAACCCTGAGCACTTCAGGAGAACTCACTGCCGACCCCTGACTTGCCGCTGCTTCTACTGACCGGACTTGTTAGACACAAGCAGAGGAAGCAGTGAGAAGCAGCAACAGCAGCACTGGTTACTCACTGGCCTCCCTGTGAGCAGCAATGGTGAATGGACCCACTAGGTTCGAACTAGGTGAGGAGAGAGAAGTTGGGGGGGAGGAGACGCTGCTGCCTGTGCCCACTGGGGTGAGGAACTAATGGGTAGATTCTTCCAGCAAGGGCATCTTTCCAAGGAACTCCCAAAACCTGAGACTGGCCCCATCTGTGCTGCAACATAAAGGCAAACCCTAGAAAAGCGATGGCATTCGTCCTGATTGGCAAGAACTCTGGGTGTCTTAAATATGGATTGATGTAATGGGGCCTGCACTTTAACAGGTCGTGACTCTTTCTGTACATATTGAGTTTAAAATCCATATAAAGGGAACAAAACATGCACAAATAAAATGAAAATATTTTCCAAAATGAAGGGGAGAAGTTTGATTCATCCATCTTCAAATGCAAATATATATAGGTGTCATCATAGTAAATAAGCAAGCACATTTGAAATGAGGGGACACATACTTTTCTGCTACGTACGAGTGACAAAACAAACAATTATCTATCCTTGTCAATATAGTGTCAGCAAATATGCTTGGCTCTGTGCTGAGTTCAATGAGATTTTGGAATCTCTAAAACCTTCTCTGCAAGATGCATACACATATCGATTTGTTTAGACAGTGCAGCAGGTTAGAACTGGTTGTGCTACAGTTTGTTGAGAAGTTTAAAGAATGGCTTTATTTCTCTCTTTCCATGATATACACCTTGGTAAAAGGTGCTCATGACTCAAACACCTTACCAGTAGGGCACAGGTTAATGCGCAGTTGTTAAGCTAGCATTGATGATAATCCTGCAAGGGTCAGTTGAGGTCTTGACCAAGAAAGCCAGAGCATGTAATCTGATTTTAGCAATGGGCTTCCGTTAAAGTCAGAAGTGTTCTTGCGTGCCATGCGGTCTAATACCTGATTCAACAAATAAACAGTGGGATCATGGCCCCTTTTTGCTGCTCCACATGGCATATTCTTTATGTACAACAGTTCATTGGATCCCATCATGGGCTTGCTTATTGCAAGCTTTCCCACAGCCATATTCAACATGCCTGAGTGATGTGAACCAGATTCCATCAGAGGACCACAGATATGCCTTTGTTATACTAGTTCATGTATGGAATTGTGCTCACTTTTTGATTTGTCTCATTGTAAAGTACGCTGCACACATTACAGCAGGAAAATAGGTCATGGCTCTTGCTTTATCAATTTTTCATAATGAGCAAATAAATTATTTTGCAACATGTCTGCCAAGGACCATCGTCAGTCCCAGCTCATACCTGCAAAGTCTGACAAACTGCATTGCAGAAGTGGGTTGGATCATGTGACTTTTTCCATGTCTATATCACATGAAGGCCACAGATCCTAACATGGAAGGAACCTATATGACCAAAGTGTACAATTTCTGACCTCAGTAATGTGCTTGGAGAACTGTAAAATAAGAGCCTGAAACACAAGCCTGTCCTCTCATCAGAAAGCTGGCTTGGATGTGTCTCTTTGTTGTACAGTCAGTGATAAAACCCAGCAACGTAATGAAGTGCAGATAATCCAGCTCTCCTGTACAGGTGTGGTCCCTGCTCACAGCATACAGATAGTTCTCTACATGCTTGCCCATGAAACAGAAAGATTTCTCCAGTACTGCAGCCAATGGGAAAACCTATTCTAAATTAAAGCGCTAGGTTTCTAATGGATTGTGTCTCAGATTGCATGTATAAAAAGTTAACCTGCTCCTTTTCTGTGCACACCTTAACTTCTGTTGTGGAAAACGTGTGCTTGGAAAATGCTTATGTTCCATGTATACACGCCAGATAGCTGGCTTGAAGTAGTGCCTCTTTGTTATGGAATGGGCAGCAAATCCAGATTTGTTGTTGTGTAAGCCATGAAACAACCCTTCACTACAACGCAATTAATGAATTCTTTCACCACAAAAGACCCACTTCAAGCAAGCTTCTGAAATGGTGAAAGCCAATTTTTTTCAGGTGGGAGAAATCATGAAAGAACTTCATAATAGTTATAAATATGTTGCTCGTATAATCTGGGAATGCAGCTGCAACACAAATTAAGAATGCTGTGATCGCTAAATTATAAGTACAATGAATCATGATTGCTAAAAGGGGTGCATTCATGATCAAGCCATGCCAATTCCACGTTGAATGCAAAGTGGGTAAATGAACATCTCCTATTAACACCCCTGGGTTGCCATTGCACAGCTGGTGCTTCTACACAGGAAAGATGGCTAATTGTTATTTATCTTATTTTCCTACACTTGCATTCTGTAAAGCTGTGTAAAAATTAAACTGGCATAAAAGATCTCAGCAACAACATGGAATTATTGTGCACTTTCTTCCTCATCCCAGGCCCTGATTTGACTGTAGTTGAAGGTCAATGGATAATCCAGGGTTATCAAGGTAATCAGCCAAACCCACTTTGCTGAAATTGTGGAGATAAAATGGGAGGAAAAACTGATTTCTGGGAGGATGGATGGAATAAAAATACGGTAAACCAAATGAATAGAAATAGTCACAGGCAAGTGATCTTGCATAAACACCAATGTCCTCCTGAAGTGTCTTTCCTTTTGCATCAAAAGACGCCTCCAATCACTTCAAGGAAATGTTATGATGTGAATCCAGAAGTGCATGGGCAATGCCCATGGGAAGCCACTTCTCAGTGCAAAGGGCTGCCTACATATGTAGACTGAGGCGCGTTTTTATCATGTATATTTATGATTTTACGTTACACTTTGGCGTGGAGGCATTTGTCAAATTCAGATATTGCATGCATTGACAAAGCAGACAGAAGCAGCTTCCTCATTCTGCCTGTTGCATGCTCACATCGTAAAGTAGTTGATCTCCAGCTTGTCCCCAGCTTGAACGCTTCCCCTTGAAAAGGTGTTCAAAATGCTATTCAGAAACATCCATCAGCTGATTGAAAATACGCTTGTTTGCTTGAAAGACGAAGCACCATTCATTATTTATAAGGCACATAAAAATGGCATGGCCTTTTTTTAGGATTTTTTTTAAAAATACCACACCTGTTTGCCATATCGTTAGCCTTTCTGTATATATTTACTTGAAGGAGAGAAAGGAACTGTGACTCTTTTACAAATGCTAACAATATCCAGCTGAAGTAGCAAGATCTTTTGCCCATGATGGAAAAAGAAACCCAGTATAAATCATTGTTAGATTTCTTCCCCCACCACACATAAACCAAAGAGTTTTATAGCCATTTACATAACATTTAAGGAGGCCAAGCATCTCTCTGACCATGCATTTTACCAAGGTGTTGCTTTTTTTTAATGGGAGGTCCAGTTGCATATACAGTCCCAACACATTATCTCATGTCTTTGATTCTCTCCCCAGCATTATATTCTGATCGGGGTGGATTTGGCTGGCAAGGCAGACATTTGAAGCATTTCCTGAATGCTCTATATTGTTCCTCTATACTCCTCACCAGTCAGACCTCACCTGGAATACTGTGTTCAGTTCTGGGCACCAAGATTTAAGAAGGATGCAGATAAATTAGAAAGGGTCCAGCAGAGGACAACAAAAATGTTCCAGGGTTTGGAAAAACTGTCCTGTGAGGAGAGATG